CCTCACCGAGCAGGGCCAGCTGGTCCCCCGGGCCCCTGCTCCCCCGCGCTCCCCGCGCCCAGGTGGCTCCGGCGACTCCGGAGCTGCGGAGAGCCCGCGGGCAGGGTCGCCTGTTGCTAGTCCGGTTAAATAAAGCTTGGTAGGCTGCGGGAGCTGCTGCGATGCGCATCCCCCCTCCCCAAGCCTGAGAGTCAGGTTACAATCTGGCCAAACGCACTCACCTAAACCCGGACGCCTGAGTCTTTCCGGGGGAGACCAGCTGGAGAAGAGAAGGTCTGGCTGCGCTGAAAGTTGGGGCTCCCTCCCTCCACCCCTGCGCATCACAGCAGAGCTCCGAGGAGGAGGCTGGATGTAGTGGATTAGGCTCAACCCTGGTTTCTCCAACTGAAGTCACAGACGCCCCTGGCACTTGTCAGGCGGGGCAACCAGACAGGGAGAGAGACTAGGTGGAAACTAGGGGCGGGTGGGGGCGCCTCGGGGTGCGGACCAGTCCCAGCCCCGCTGGCTGGGGGAACCCAGGGGGGGAAGCCCTTGGAGCCGGATCCTGGGGGATGGGCTAGGCTGCAGCTGGAGCACTTAGGTGTGGGGGCTGAAAGGGCTTTCGCATTCAAAAACCATGACTTGGGTTGTCGTGTCAGCCACTGGTGAGAGGGGAACAGTTCTTTCTGAGAATTTTTTTTTTTACTAGGAAAAGGAAGAAGGAAAGAAAGAGAAAAAAATCTTGAATAATAGCCTCTCAGCTCCATCCACCCCAATGAAGAGAAATGTTGCAGAAACTTGTTCTTATGGGGGGGGGCGGGTTGGGGGGTGGTCAGAGAAAGCCCCTAAACCTCAGTGTTCATCAGCAAGCACTGATGCATGCAGGGGTGGTATTTAATGATAGCCAGAACTGTCAGCTAAGCCCACAAAAGAAAAGGAAAGAAAAACACGCGCTGACATATGAACATACTTATTTAAAAAATGAGCCTGGGGGTGGAACAAGTGTGGAGGGAGGCAATTACATTTTTCACGTAAAGTCTGTCTCTGATTTTCAATGTCTTAGAACCAAGATCATCAATGTGCTCTGTGCACAGCGCTCTCCCTCTGAGATGAGCACTCTGGGTCCAATGAGCCATCCCCCGGCTGCATTCACAGACTCGGAAAGGTGCTCCCCAGTAGGACGGCTGGATGGGAGGACAGTGCCCGGAATAACATGTCCATGTGTGATGTGGGGTGTTGTGGGGAACACACCAATGAAGCACTGAAAACCCACACTCCTTCTCATGCAGGGACTTCAGTGCCCTGCAAACCCCACAGACACACACACTTTGCACAGTCCCCCACCCCCCTCCCCCTCCCCCAGTCAGGTAACTGGCTGCAATGAACACATACTGACATGAACAACCCTCTGATGACGGGGGACCAGTGATCTCTCCCAGACCTGAAGGTCTCTCTTAGGCTCACTCTTAGATACGCATAAAATGTAACCTTGCAAATGGTATGAGAATGTGTGCCCAGGAGCCTTGATGGGAGGTGGCGAGGGATGGTTAAGGTTTCTTACAGCCTGTAATATAAATGAGGGAGGGCTGAAATAAATACAGAGTGCAGGAGACGATGGGGTGGTTCGCTCCATGGGCTGTATCTTAGCACAGCAGCAACTAACACAGTAAGGAAACACGGTCACATACATCCCTGAGTTCTGAAAGTCACAAAAATGCGTTTAATGATGGCACTTCTTTACACAAACATGGCTTATTAAAAATCACAGCAGCAGTAGGTCTCTAATAATGCGTAAAGAGGAGGACTTACCAGAGGAAATCGCCGGAAGCACAATGACAGGGAAAACAAATATCTCCAGAATTCACACAGACATTCCATGATCTCCCAAAGCAAGGTATGGTGACGAGCTGCAGGCTGGTGGAACTTTGGAATAATCAGCGCTTCCCAGTGGCATGTAACCAAGTCAAAACCCGTTACCTCGGAGAGCCAAGAACCCCCAAGGAAGGGGAGCAAAATGTGGAGGAGGTGCCTTTTAGTTTGGGGGCTTCTAATGGGATGATCTTTAGGCAGCCAAAATGAAAATTCACAGACTCCACCTCCCCACAGAGTGGAGAAAAACAGAAGCCCCGCAACCCCA